TGGAATCTACTCAATGTACTCCAAACTGAGAAAGCTAAAATAAAACGCTGATATTATGTAAGTAAGTTAGATTTTCAAAGAAAATTAGATTATTCTCAATTGCAGTATTCAACTCCTTTCCTACAGCAACCCTAAATCAGTTCAGGAATAAATGATTAGTTTGAAAGGTCACAAAATTAGTGTAATGGTTTCTATCTGTGTGTGATACAAGTGGTTTAACTTGACTTCAGACTAAATGCAACTGTACAAACCACAACTCACATTGTGGTATGACAAACCAACCATGAAGACCAGGGAGCTTTCCAAACAAGCCAGGGATAAAGTGGTAGAGAAGCACAGATCAGAAGAAGCTTAAAAAGAAAATTTCAAAGTCGCTGATTATCCCTTTGAGTATAGTGAAAGCCATAATTAAGAAGTGGAATGTACTTCATACCACCCAATCACTACCCAGATCAAGCCGCCTTTCCAAACTAAGTAGTTCTGAAGCCAACAGTGACTTTGAAAGATCTGCAAAGTTCCATGTCTGAGATGGGAGTCAATGTTCATAAATTTACAATATCCCGGTCCCAATACAAAACTGGCCTGTATGGGCGAGTGGGAAGTAAGATGTCATTATCGAAAAATAATTATATTAAACCTTGTATGGAGTTTGCGAAAAAAACATGTTAATGATAATACAAACACGTGGAAGAAGGTTTTCTGGTCAAAAGGGACAAAAATTGAACTTGTCAGGGTTAAATCGAGGTAAACTGGAGACTGGAACTTCTTTGTAAGATACTTGCCATATTTTTTATTTTAGACAATCATAGAATTTCCCAAAGTAAATAACTATTGTATTTTCTAAAATAGTAGGTTATAATATAAGCAGGCTTTTAGTTATTTTGATATTTTTCCTATATCTTTTTATTTTTCAAACATGTTTTGCATTTTGATATTCACGTACAAGTTTCTTAAACTACTTTGCTTTTCTTCTTCTGTTACCTGAAATACACAGAGCTGGCAAATACATACATACACACTGGTTAAACTAAAGTTCAGGCAGACAAATTTTTGCGATGGATTTGTATTTTACATTATGATACATATAAGAAAATTCAGTTACCCTCCATTTTTAAATACGAGACATCACCTATGGGACAGTAGAGTTAATTAACTCTGTTGCTTCGTGTCAATAAACAAAGAATATCAATGAATAGAAGTCAACGTTGTCATCGGTATGAAGTGAGACCTTCAAGTTCTACCAACTGCGAAGCAAATGGTTTTAGAGATAGAGGAAAACGAAGTGCTAGACAAAATGATTCTTGTTATGGCTCTAATGAACCTGATTACATGAAAAATAGGCTATCTAGTGAAACGCGTTGTAACCTGCATTTTAGTACTGTTGCTGATAGCAACGTTAGGCCTAACGTTAAATCAATTTCTACTTCTAGAACCCGAAATAGATGCAGGCGCAGTGCAGGTTGCAGTAAATCAAACGTTTTGAACATTACTGATAAAAATACCACGTTTTCAGACATACCTGGTTATTTTTATGATCACCAGAAAAAGAAATATTTTCGCGTTCTACCGGGTCATAATAATCACAATCCTTTAACTGCTACTAACATTTATGGACAAGAATCTGTAAAGAATTATAAAGATTTTCATACAAAAAGAGCAGAAGAAGCTAATTTTCCTTTGTTAAATAACTTTGCTACACGCCAGTTAGGATTAATTCCAGGAAAACGTTTTATATCTAACCTTATAGGGCATCAGATGTTAAAAATGAAAAATATAACCAGAGTCAAAATTGATAATACTGCACTAGACTATCCACTTACAGATTGTCGCTATCTTGTTGGATTTCCAGATAAATCTACTGTCCTTGGATCATGGTCTTTGGAAAAAGAACCAGGAATCCTTATTCAATCTATTAACCTTGAAGATGCTCTGGAAGGTTTATCTGAAGAAAGCAGTAGAGATGGTAACCTGTTTCAAAGGAAGAATTGTGAAGTTGTAAACATTCACCCTCACTACAGGGTAGCTGATATGTGTTGGGCTGATATATCTTCCGACCTTTATTTTGTTCTTATAGTATGTACAGGTTGTGATGTTATAACACCAGCTCTAAGCTGTGTTCAACTTCGTCCAGTTCGTCAGCTTTGTGGTAGTACCAGCTCAAACCTTCAAGACATGGATCAGTTGACTCAAACATATGAATATCCTGGCATGGCCATATGGAGTTGTGCTTGGAACCGTGCCACTTTGCAAGTTGCCTTTGGAGTGGAGGGCTTGGCATATTGTAGACACATTGAAACTGGGGATACAAAAGACATCTTTACTGAAAAAGAAAACCCCTATTCGTTATGTTTTAGTAAGGATGGAAACATCTTGTTCAGCGGGAGCCACAAGGGAAATCTGATTTGTTCTGATCTTCGAGATTCAACCCAAGATAAAGTGATATACAGCATGAGTATAGGAAGAGGATTGTCTTACATTCATTTGCTGAATGATGAGAATAGATTAATTGTTAGTGGTTATGATGGAAAATTAGCACAGGTAGTCTTAGTAACTGTTTGTCATATTTATATCTATTGGTTTATCTTTAGGAAACTAAACTTTTTTTTTAGAATTAATTCTATTAACTGCACTTACTATGCTACCAAGAAAACATTAAACAAGTTTGTAACTATAACCAAAAACAAATTATTTAAAAGAACAAGTTTAAATCTAGACTTCTAAAGATTTAACTTGTTAAGGGATTGGACAAGGAAACCGAAGTGCTTCAGACAAATCTGAAAACAACTTCAGCTTCTCTCAGGCAACTGAAAAAAATTCTATCCTAAGGTGTTTCACTTTCTCAATTGAGTTATGAACTGAGGTAGCTTCACTGAAGAAAGGAAAAGTCTTGGATTTCTTTTTAGTTGCATGAGAGAAGTTTTCAAGTTTTAACCCTATTAGTATTACTCCTAATATTAAAGTTTTTATTTCCAACTTTTTCATTTCAATTTTAAACACCTTAATGGCTTTCACTCCACCCATTTATTCAGGAAGTCTTATTTATTGAAACATTGTTGTATACGTGTCATGTAACATTGCTTTGTTGATCAGTTAAATTTACTAAGTATAGCAATTTAACAATTAATAAGTGAAAATGTAGTTCTTGTTTACTTGAACTTGTTTGATATTTAGTAAAGCATCTTTCTTACACATTGAGAATGTAGATAATGTGTTGCATTCATATAATATCAGTAAAAAATAAATAAATATTATTTTGTTAGTTGTTAAGCATAAACTGCGCAATTAGTTACTTGTGCTGTACACACTATGAGTATTGAGACCTGATTTTTAGAGTTATAAGCTCATTGACTTGTCACTGAGGGCTGGGATGCAGTATGTTGAGACCCTGACTGTTTCACCATAACAAAAATTTACAAGTTTTAATTAAACAGGATAAATAAACTGATATAGTGAAATGTAAAGATGGATTGTAGTTTTAAAGAATTAATACTAGGTGATAATTGAAATTATGATAAATTAATTTACATCCATTCAAGTGTAAGTTAAACATCAGTCCATCTATTTTAACTGATTAAGCTAAGTTGAGAAACTGAATAAACATCAGTCCATCTATTTTAACTGATTAAGCTAAGTTGAGAAACTGAATAAACATCAGGCCATCTATTTTAACTGATTAAGCTAAGTTGAGAAACTGAATAAACATCAGTCCATCTATTTTAACTAATTGAGCTAAGTTGAGAAACTAAAAAAAGGTTGTTTTTTTTTAGTTTAATTTTACTGCCCACATGTTTATAATTACTGTATTTGCCGAATATAATTCATACTCAATTATGAAAGGTTAAACTGAAGAACATTTGTTTCAGTTGTACAAAATGTATTAAATAGTTTCTAAATACATCAGGCAACTATCAATGTATTAAACATTATTGGAAATCGTTCAATGAAATTTTGTTTACATGTCAATTTTACTGAAAAGTTTATATGTGGTAATACAGTAAGCTAATCATTCATCTTCACATATATCTTTGTCATCGCTAGAATTGTCGCTACCATCAGAATTGCTTCCTTGAAACTTTGCTTCATCCTCTTCTGATTCCCACAGCATGTCATCATTCATCCCATTCATTATATTAAATATGCAACATTTTTTTAAAATCTTTAGTGATTTTTGGTGGTTGTTTTTAGTAAAATACCAAACAAAATTGAACATGCACAAATATAATGAGCAGTCAATTTTTCAGGAGGTATTTGGAGGAAGAAAAGTGTGCATCACATTTGGGCAAATACGGTATTATATTTATTTGACACATCAAGTTTGAACTTCAAGTGTGCAGTTAAATGATTCTTCTGTTTTTATTAATAAGCACCTGTATTAGGACAACACGTTTTAAGCATACATATAATCTAGAATATAGAAAAGATTTTAGTGTACTTTTTTGTTGTTCTTTGTTAGTATGAGTTTGTAATGTTAAACTGGTGGATATAGGTTTATAATTGTTTTTTGTATATATAAAACTGTGTAAGAAATTACATGTGGTGGTTGTTGAAAGAGAAAAACAAAGAGTATTTTGTAGGCTAAAACACCAAAAAGAACAAGGTGTTAATTTCAGATATATATATATATATATCAATATATACAACTTTATATACCTTATATATACAATATATACCTTCTTCATGTATCTGTGGCTGAACAGTAAATTTGTAAACAAATGAAACCATCCTAAAATTTATACTTTAGGAACTTTAATAAGTTTTAAGGGTAACTGCCTTCCCATTACTGGCTGCAGACAATGAATGTCAGTAGGAGTTGAGACATTATGGGTGTAAGCACTCAATTCCATACCCTTAATTGATTTTTATGTTTGCTGGCTAGTTTAACATCAGAGTTTGGAATTTGTCTGATAGATGGGACATCTCCAATGTATTTGGGAGCTATTACCACAGGCATTATCTACTATGACTTTAAGGTGACAACTAGGACTGACAACGGGAACTCTACCAAAATCTCTTTAATGCCTATTTTATATATATATATAT